TATCCATCTGGAAGGCTGCAGCTGTTGGAGCCTTGTGGCTGAGGAAGCAAAGGAAACAGAGGCCCGAATGCTGTATGTAAGGAGGGGAGGAAAATCTGATCAGAGATGAAAGAGCCAACCCCCTTCCTGTCTTTAATGCAAGATGTAATCCATGCTGGAAGGTTTCTTTGTCTTGCTGCTGAACTGTGCTCCAGAGCTCATCTGAACTGGAGTAACCAGGCAGAGAACTGGGTTTCAGCTTGACAAGAAGCAGTAAAGGATGGGGAGGGGGGCAAAGGGGGGGCTCGCTCTTTCCTTCTTTCTTTGAGTGATCTGGTTTCTCTGGAGGAGGCTTAATTAGCACATGCTGGACTGGGAAGCGGAAAGTAGGGGGGAAACTTGATCTCCCCTTTACAAAACTGTATTTCAGATCTGCTCCATCTCCTGATACTTTCTGACTGCCAGCATCAAGGATTATCAAACAGCCACTGAAGGCTAGTTTCACCTTCCTTCCTTATGGTAAACTGGGATTCATCTGATAATGGTTTATTGAATAAACCACAACTGGTTGAGTGTGTATTTTGCTAAGCCATCAACGATGGTTCACAAGCCAGTGGCTTAATTCATTTCTAGGCGAAGCCAAACAGACTGCATTATGGCTTAGCCCAACGGATCAGCCCAAGCAATATCTGTAAATTGGAGGGCTTTTTCTAATCCACTTTTTTAAAAACACCTTTTTGGAGGCTTGCCTCTTTAGCACTTGTTTGTTTAACTGGTAAATGTAATTCTTCCTGCTTCCTTCTGACACCCCTTCCCTCCAGAATTGTTACTGATACTAAAGATGCTGTGCCTGAGTGCTATTATACTCCTCAGGACTTTCCACAGCATAATTTACAGTTCCGGTTCTCCTGCTGAATGTGTAAGAAACGCTTTTCTCCAGGAGCATCCACGGATCCACAGAGTATGGTCAAAAAAGTCAAGATGGCAGCCATGGTGTTGCAATCTAATCTCTGCCTGTTTTTTATGTGCATCAGGTGGACCTTTGTGCTGTGGTAACCACCATCTTGACTTTTTTGACCACATTCTGGACACCCTTCCTTGTCCCTCTTTCTTAGGATATAGGAAAAGTGTATTTAGTCTGCATGTGAATGTGGCTTTATATGATTTATGAGCCAAAATTTAGTTCTCGCTCTCCAAACTTCCAATCGAGTATGCCGGTAAAAAACAGTATGTGTATTATGGCAAAGTTTCTACAAAAAAAAAAGTATAATAATATATAAAAATGCATGTATTATTGGAGAACCATTTGCCAACATTGCTTATCTTAGACAAAGTTGGCCTGCAAAAATGGAAAATTGACAGAGAAAGCAAATGGCCTTCCAATCAATTAGTGTGTGAAGCTGACTTAATAGCATTAGACCACCTCTGTTGCTCAGCCATTAGAGCAGTGTTTCTCAACCTTGACATCTTGAAATTGTGTGGACTTCAACTCCCAGAATTCCCCAGCCCGCCTAGGGAATTCTGGGAGTTGAAGTCCACACATCTTCAAGCTGCCAAGGTTGAAAAACACTGCATTAGTGGTCTTGCTTCCTTCAGAACGTGGCTAATTGTAATTCCAGACTAGCCTAGTGCAAAAAATAGGCAGACTTCAGGCTTGTAAGATGGACTTTGTTTTTCATTTATGTTTCTTTGCTTTTCTGAGGCCAAGAATCTACTAACTACAGCTAATGGTTTGAGTAGTGCTCACATACTTGGAATAAGGGCCTGGGAGCCTCCAAGCCTATGTTTGGCATAAGAATAGATTTTCAGAGCCAGCACTGAACCGTTTCTCCTTTGACACTGAAGTCCACCCCTGGTTTTCCAGCAAACATTATTATAGTAAGCTTACAAATATCAGCTGTAACTTCTCTCTGTTAAAACAACTAGATGTCAGAAGCTTGTTATAATCTGAGAATAAATATCTAATAATAGAGGCCAGTCTAGCTTCTTGTTGTGGGCTAGGCTGAAAAGGGTTAGCCTTGCAAGCTAGTCTATCTTACAGGATTTTTATGAAATTATTCAGTTTGTTTTTTACATGTGCCACCTTGACAGTCTAACAGATATAGCAGGATACAATATGTAGGGCAGAATAGTTATAATATATAGTAATTATATTGGATCACACATGAGAATTTAAGTTGGCCGGGTAAATTCTTTAACTGCCTCTATAATTAACTCTACTTTCACCTCTATGGATTTAAAGGTATGTCTGAGGATCCTTTTTTGTTGATTATAAGAACCAGTGTTCTCTCTCTTCATTTATATCAGCTTTGCAAATATTCTGTCTTTCCAGAGCTGCCACACAAGATCATTTATCTCTGATGTTCTTGGCCTTGGGCCCTCAAATGAGGGTGGACTACAATTCCATTCTCCCCAGCCAGCTCCACATGTGTGACCAAAGCAATAGTCCAGTAAAATTTGGGGACCCAAGTTGAGTTGGAGAGCTGGTTTTCAGTTCTTCTTCATTCAGCACCTTCATTTTGACCATGCTGGCTGAGAGTGATAGGGACTGTAGTCCAACGTATTTAGAAAACATCAGATTGGAAACATTGGTTTAAGTGAAGCGCTTTCTCTTTTTCAGCTGTTGAACTGGCTTTGCCTCAACATTTCTTCTGCTTCTCTGCCCCTAGATATTTCTCCTGACATTATAGAGCCTGGCAGCCGGGCCAAGGAGGCCAGCCCCTCCAGAGAGATGGGGGATGCTGGGGAGAAAGGCCTGGATAATGATGCCGAAGGGGTATGGAGCCCTGACATCGAGCAGAGTTTCCAGGAGGCACTGGCCATCTACCCACCCTGCGGGAGGCGCAAAATCATTCTTTCAGACGAGGGAAAGATGTATGGTAGGTGAAGGTGTGGGCCTCTGCTTCCCTATCCTGAATTTGCATTCCTGCACTAGGTACAGGGTGGACTAGAAGGCCTTCAGGATCTCTTCCAACCCTATGATTCCCCACGGAAATGATCATGGCTACTACTGCATATGATAAAAAAAAAAAAACACGAGGAGCTGGGTTCAGGCTTAAAACAAAGACCACGGTTCTTCTCTCTCCGAAGACGAAAGGATAACTGCTGATCGTGTTGGGATGGTGTAGTGTTAATGGCATCTGTTCTCTCCCAGGGAAACCAAGAATGAGATACTGACACACGCAGCCACTATAGTCCTGAACGCAATGAAATTGCATGCAGTGAATGAATCTTCATGAGGCTCTCATAAAAACAAAGCATTAGAGAACCATTTTAGCCTTTTAGGGTTAGAATGGAAAACAAGAGATGGTCAGTTGTACATTATAGGGTGAGCCCGTGGTAGCTCTGCCTGCGGTGCGACTCTTGAGACAGCAACGGGATTTCCAACTGGGTAACGCCAAGCACCTGTTCGAGGAGGTGTTGCGTGAAAACGCAGGCACCCTTTCCTCTTACGGGGCCACTGCCTCACTGTCCTACATTTGGGCAAGACAGCCGTTTCCCTGGGTTATTGTGTGAAGATAAAAGTGACCCAGGCAAACAATCCATTTTAAAGAAAGGGTGAGATTTATATCACTAGATGATGGATCACCAGAAAAGGGTTCAAATTATCCTCCAGATGCCTCTGGACTAGCTCTGGGTGTTGGAAGCGGGGGGGGGGGGGGGGGG